AAAATCATAATTAGGATTCATATTATTAGCATTTCGATTCATATAGGAATTATTATTATTTCTTTGAAAATTCTGAAAATGCCCAGTGTTTTGTTTATTATAAAAATTTGAATTTTGTTTTGACATGTTTCTTTCATATGAATTATTATTATACAAGGTTTCAAAATTTTCAAATTCAGAAACATAAGCAACAGCTTCTTCTAGCGACTCTGGCTTTTTCAAATGCATATTATTTTTTAGTGTTCCCGTACAACTTGTAACGAATGTATTTAGAGCAGTTTTAGCATAATGATTACTTTGAATTTGTTTTTACATTGGGGTTAAATTTGGATCATTACTTATTCTCTGAATAACACTACTTCTTAACAACTGTAATCTACTCGCAAAATTTATTAAATGTTCACCTTTTAGGGGTTTACTACGCGTCAATTCTTGCACTAAGCAATCTAAATCTCTTCAATCGGAGAAACATTATAACAAAGCATTTTTTAAACATATCCAAGTATTAATTTCAATTCTGTTTCCTACCACTATCTCAGCTTTTCCTACTAATTTTTCTTGGATACATTCTATTATATGTGCATCCAATTCTGGGTCATTATATGTTCTATATGTATCAATCAAACTTTCGCATCTATTTATAAATTTATTTAGTGAATTACTATCACCATCAAAAGTTTTTATGTTATCTATTTTGGACTTAAAAAGGACCCAATTCACTTGTCTACGTTCAATTACTGGGGGTGTCATGATTAAATTACTTCCTACACTATCTGATTTATTATCTTGTAATGATATATTTGCAAATTGCTCAAACAAAGTATCAATTTCTGATTCACTCATAAAATATAAAATTGTTTCAAAATTATATAATAGTATAATCTTTTTAATATTAATCTTTAATTTAGAGGTATTAAAGGAAAGGGAAATTAAAGGATATTTGGCACTTACTATTTTCTTCAATTGCTTTCTAATTGTCTTTTCGGGTGATGTCCAATAATCGACGAATCTTCAAAACGACGAT